CTGCTCAGCTTGCCTTCTGGAAGGCTTGGGTGGTGGGGAATATGACTACGGAGCACCCACTAGCACTCAAGCAAGCAAAGAAATCCTGGCTGCCATCCCAGGTCAGAACCAGAGTGAAAGCCATTGGCATGGCTTTGCTCCAATCCATTGCTTCTCTTACATTGCTTTTCATGAGAACTCACAGTTACGGGCCTGTTAAAAGGTTCCCCTTCTGCTGGCTAGAACAGAGGGAACTGAAAGAAGGAACAGGGATGGCAAGGAAGCTGGTCTGGAGTGGGGAGGTTGGGGGTGGTGGTACTCTAGAGTGGCTGAAATCTGTTCTCCTGCCTGGGGATGGGGGTGGCACTACCACCACCCTAAACCCTCTGATGCCTTTCCTAAAATCAGATGTTGTCTCCCTGACTGGGTATCAAATGTCCCAGCATTCCTCCCTGACAGCTTTTCCTCTGAGCTGACTGCATCCCTTCTGCATCATGTCATCCCTGTGGAGACGGTAAGCAGCTTGCATATCACCTCCTTCTGCTGTCCTAACTCCTCAAACCCTGGAAGGCAACTTCAAGGGCACGGCTGCCTCTTCCTTTCTCCAGCCTAAGAATCTATAAGAAATATGGGTCAAAGAGAAGTAGTATTTCCTACGGTCATAGCTGGTAAACATGCATTAGAATAATACAACCAAGTACAATCAAACACAAAAGAATAAAATATCCTTAGAGATATTGAAAGCCAGGCCCTGATCCTGGCTATGCCATCTACAAATCCTGGGAGGTCAGGTCGCTTGCCCTCCTTTATCTAAGTCCCTTCCTCCTCGTCACAGGACAGGATCAGATGATCTGTAATGCTCCTCTTCAGTCAGCTTCTGACACTCTTCAATAGGGACAATAGTCAGTGTTGGTGAGGGTATAAGATTAGAACTCTCATACATTGCTATTGAAAGTGTAAAGTGGTGCAACCACTTCACATTCCCAGAAAGGGTCAATGTTGTTACGGTAGGACCCAGCACTTCCACTCCTAGCACACATCCAGGAGCAATAAAAATATGTCCGTGCCAAAGCTTGTGGATGAGTGTTTACTACAGTGTTATCATGATAGCCACAGAGTGGCAACAGCCCAAATACCCATCAACAGATGAATGGATAAACAAAATATGATATATATCCATGTAACAGAATGTTACTTGGCAATAAAACAAATGTTACTTGGCTACAACATGGATGAACCTTGAAAACATGCTCAGTGAAAGAAGCCACTCACAAAGGGCCACATGAATCTGAAATGTCCAGAATAGGCAAATCCAGAGAGAAAGGAAGTGGATGACTGGTTGCCTAGGTCTGGAGTGGGGGTAGATGGAGGCAGGGATTGGAAATTGATGAGTAAAGAGTGCAGGGTTTCCCTTTGGGGTAATGAAAATGTCCTAACATCAATTGAGGTGATGGATGCACTACTGTATGAACACACTAAAAGCTGAATGAATGTACACTCTCAATGGGTAAATTGCATGGTATGTGATTTATGTATCAATAAAGACATTTTTAAAAGAACAAGAACAAATGCAATTTTAAAGTCCCTTCAGCCTTACCAGCAGAGCATGTGATCAAACTTTTGGATCGTTGCCATGCTGATGTGTGAGAAATAATCTCTCATTGTAGTTTTCATGCACATTTCTCTTATCATAGGGGAGGTTCAGCATCTATCTGCTCAGCTCAAAGTCCATTTATATTGATTTCTTTTTATCATATACTAAATTCATATATATATGAGATATGATACATATAAGACCATATGTATCTATGTGCCGAATGTTTATTGCAGCATTATCATGATAGCCACAGAGAGGCAACAGCCCAAATGTCCATCAACAGATGAATGGATAAATGAAGTATGTATATGATAAGTATATGATAAGTATATTATATATAGATATATATATATATCTGTTTCTGGACTTTCTAATCTGTTATATATGTCTGCCTATTCATGTGCTACCACCACACTTGTAATTATTAAAGCTTTACAATAAAACAAGCAGTGAGGTACTCAACAAAGTCAAGCTGGCTGCCAGCTCAGGGCGCATGCCATCCCCAACCACCCAACTACCAAATCCAGCCACTGTCCCCGGCTGCCACTTTCCCAGAGAAGCCACAGCGTTGTTTCAAATATGGAGAAACACTTTAAATTTGTCACAAAAACGCTTAATAGGAATGCCAAGAAGCTACTGGAAAAGGCCAATATTAAAAAGGGCATTCAGAAGGGCACCCAGGAGTTGCAAGAACACATACCAAAGACCCAAACTATCAGAAAAACCAAGCAACTTAAAGAAAAAAAAAAGAAAGAAAAGCCAAGCAATTAATTTCTCATGAATAAGGGCTAAGGTTGATGCTGTGGCAACCTGAGACCAAACTGCAGTGACAAAGAGCAAAGGTGAGTCTGTGGCAGGTATAGTCAGGTCTATGGGTGACAAACTGAGGAGTTGAATGTGGACAAATGATTTCTGCTTTGAAGGATAAATATTGTAGATATTTTAAGAGAGATCACTCACATTCACATAACTTCTATTAACAGTATTGTGTTATAATTGTTCTATTTTATTATTGTTGTTATTAATCTCTTATTGTGCCTAACTTATAAAGTAAACTTTACTACAGGTATATATATATATATAATATAATATATATAATGAAAAAACAAAGTATAGAAAGGGTTCGGTGCTACCCACCATTTCAGGCATCCCCTGGGGGTCTTGGGATGTACCCCCTACAATTAGGAGGGGACTACTCCATCAAGAAATAGTGAGGGGAAAAAAAAAAGAAATAGTGAGGATTTTGCCTTTCCTTTCCCAATTCTTTACCTTTGCTTATTTTCCCTTGTCAAATTGTGTTGAGGAATGCCCCCCTGGGTGTTAAAGTAGTAGTGATGGTGAACATAGTTCTCTAAAGACTTTAATAGGCCTGTGCTCTCTTAAATCCTAGCTCCAAGGATGCCTGGGTGGCACAGAGCATCTGCCTTGGGCTCAAGTTATGATCCTGGGGTCCTAGGATTTCTTTCTTTTTTTTTTTTTAAGATTTTATTTATGAGAGACACACACACAGAGAGAGAGAGAGAGATAGGCAGAGACATAGGCAGAGGGAGAAGCAGGCTCCATGCAGGGAGCCCGATGTGGGACTCGATCCCACGACTCCGAAATCAGGCCCTGAGCTAAAGGCGGCACTAAACCGCTGAGCCACTCGGGCTGCCCTTTTAATTTCTCTCTTTTTCTTTCCTCTTTCTTTCTTTCTTTCTTTCTTTCTTCTTCTTTCTTTCTTTCTTTCTTTCTTTCTTTCTTCTTTCTTTCTTTCAGATTTTATTTATGAGAGACACACAGAGAGAGAGAGGCAGAGACATAGGCCGGAGGGAGAAGCACCAGCATCCTAGGATTAAGTCCCACATCAGGCTCCTCTAAGGGAGCCTGCTTCTCCCTCTGCCTATATCTCTGCCTCTCTGTGTGTGTCTCACATGAATAAATAAAATCTTAAAAAAAAAAAAATCCTAGCACCAGCTCTAAGCTTGGCTCCTCTTCGCCCCCACCCTGAGCCTTTCCTGCCATTCTTTCTGCACTTTCTGGACTTCATCCTATACTACTAGGCTTGGTTCCAACTGGACTGTGAGCAACTTGAAGGCAGTGGCCATGGATTTCCCTGTGTGCCCTGCCGTATCCACCCAAGGCCACAGGGCCTGGCACAGAGTAGGTCCCAATGGATTGTGCTTGGTTGATGAATTAAGGTGGGTTGAATTTCATCATGCTGGTGATATCTCCCCCAGTGGGTAGACTTAGGGAAGTGCTGTCCTGCAGCAATCCAGATTTCTAGCTTCTATTTTCTGCCAAGAGGGGATGGGAGTCGGGAATGGATGAGAAGACATTTCCCAGAGCCAATCTGTGCCCTTATACAGCTCAGGTGACTGCCGGTTTCATCTCACTCTGCTACCATTACCTTTACCAACCCACAGCCCATAGCTTACCTAGCTTGGGTTGACAATGAAGTCCCTTTGGACCACCTCAGGAAAGTCTAAAATGCAGTTTCCTAGACTCTACCCTAAGAGACTCTGGAGTATAGCCTGGAAACCTGGGTTTTGGCCAACCCCCAAGTGACTCTGATGTAGGGATTCTCTGCGGAAACACTAGCCCAACAAACCAGACCATCTGCTTGTTGCATCCACTCACTACACATGCTAAGCCCCCACTGTGCGAAGCCCCAAGGAAAGACACACCAGAGAGCCTGTCCTCATGGCACTTACATGATCCCAGCAGAGATCACACAAGTGGGAAACGCTGTTGTTATTCTCATTTTATGGCTGAGGAAACTGAGGCTCAGAAAGGAGATTTTGACCAAGATCCTAAAACTAGTAAGTGATAGACACAATTATGATATAACCTTGAGAAAGTTGTCAGATTTCAAGACTCACTGTCTCAATGATTCCTGCATCTAAACACACCATCATTTGAATTGTGTTGAACAGTTTACAAAATGTTTCCATTTCAGTTAACATTACAAATGCAGCTCCTGTGTGTGGTAACCTAACTTCACAGAGGTTACACAAGCTGGCCATGCAAGTCAAGGGCCGAACTCTGACTTCAGTCCTGGTTCCTTGGGACTGTAGGCCATCGGCAGTTAGGGTACAGTGGAGGTGCAGAGGAAAGATTTCTTCTGAATGAGACAGGGTTGTGGTGAGGCAGGGAGAGAAGCTATTCAAAAGAAGCATTTGTCACAGTTCATCTAGTAGAAAGCCAGTTCATGCAGATGGAGTCCCCCATTGCCAACTCTCTGATTCGTGTTTACCTATGCCTCCATGAATTCGATCTCCAGAGCTGGAGCCCAGACAGAGGTTATCTAACTCCCCAGATGATTTTAATGAGTAGCCAGCATTCAAAATCACAGTGAGCCATTCACCTTGACTTTCTTCATGTTCTACTTCCTTGGCTGCCTGTGAACATGACATCATGACTCACTGGTGCTTTCTTATTCCAGATGAAGGGAGAAGCTGGAAGTATGCAACATAATGAGAAGCCAAAGCAGGTAAGTGCCAGCACCACACCTACCAAGCTAGTGAGAATGCTGGCTGTCCTCCCATTGTCCCTTGGCCCCAAATGCTCTATCCCTTTAGCCTGTGAAACCAACCCTTTCAACTGCTCTGGAGACAGAAGCAGCCTACCAGGGCTGGAAATGGGATTGGGCACCAGCTCTTGAGCCCAGCTAACTTCTGCACTGTTCTCTTGCACTTCATAGAGACCTGTGGCCTGTTTATAATCCTCTCACTCCAGCTGCCAGAGAGAGAGAAAACACCACAATCCCCGAAAAAAATAGCTGATTCTATACGCGAAATTGAGGTTTTTGATTTAGCTTGATCTGCTTATACACAAATGAAAAATTCCTAGCAACTCCTGAAAAGCTCATGAAAAGAGTCTTCTGAATACTAAAAAAGGAATAATTGCAAAACCCAAGGGAAATGTCTGGCAAGCTTGAGGGTGACCTTTCAATGGCCTGTTTAAAAGAACAAGTTCCGGGATCCCTGGGTGGCGCAGTGGTTTGGCGCCTGCCTTTGGCCCAGGGCGCGATCCTGGAGACCCGGGATCGAGTCCCACGTCGGGCTCCCGGTGCATGGAGCCTGCTTCTCCCTCTGCCTGTGTCTCTGCCTCTCTCTCTCTCTCTGTGACTATCATAAATAAATAAAATTTAAAAAAAATAAAAAAATAAAAGAACAAGTTCCTCTGATTGGTCCTGCCCATTCAGCCCTCAAGGAGAGAGCGGAAAGTTCATTTCCAGAGCTCAGGACGCTGAGGAGCACTTGCACTTCAAAAACTTGTCACTGACTGTGGAAAATGACTTAGTTCTTTTTGGTCTTTCGATCAGAAGTGGGATGGAGTAAGCTAAAAATAAACAATTCAGGGCAGATTCAGGTTGCTCTGAATGGGTCAGTAAAACAGTCTGCCCCTTGAGAGCTCCAAAGTCTGGATTACAATACAACATCCTATTAGATCAGCTTCCCTTCACCCAAACCCCCATGACCCCGTATACGCGGTCCAATTCACAGCCGATGAACAGCAGGCACACACCTAGAGGGACCACCACATCCAGTTCTCTCCTGTGGAAGAATGTGAGCAAACTCCATCTGGGCTTAGACATAGAAGATGTAGGGGGATCCCTGGGTGGCTCAGTGGTTTAGCTCCTGCCTTCCGCTCAGGGAGTGATCCTGGAGTCCTGGGATCGAGTCCCGCATCGGGCTCCCGGCATGGAGCCTGATTCTCCCTCTGCCTGTGTCTCTACCTCTCTCTCTTTCTGTGTCTCTCATGAATTAATAAATAAAATATTTAAAAATAAAAAAAGAAATAGAAGATGTATATTTCTATTTTTAAAAAAAGAAATATAAGATGCAAGGGACATCTGTCATTTTTGTATATTGTACAATGCAAGTTGGTGACAATGGTAGCCAGTATTCTCCTTCTCCTAATTGTACCTTGTTTGATCAGTGAGCCTGCTATGATCTCTACTTTAGACTTTTGGAAGAGACTGGGTAAGGGACCTCTCGGTGATTGTCAGAGGTCTGTTCTTTGCCTTTCATTATCCTGTCCAGCTGGCAGCCCAGGCTCATCTCACTAGAAGCAGAGGAATTATTAAAAGTCAGAACACGTATTCATTCATTGTTTTCTTTGCCAGCAAGTGGGTGATGGGGATGGGGAAAGAGTCCTGGCCCATGAACAGATTCTGCAGATCTTTCTGCAATGGCTGACTCAGCCTTGCCTGCCCACTGGAATTAGTAGGGGAGCTTTAAAAAGCACAGAGGCTCAGGTCCCACCCTAGAGACTCTTATGTAATCAGGTGGGGGAGGAACTCGGGCATTGGGATGTTTTAAAAGCTCCCAGGTGATTCCAGTGCATAGATAATGGACGTCTCTATTCCCACGGGAGGGCTCCTGCTGAAGCCCCACTGCTGTGGAAGGCTCACCTGTCCTTCTGGGGGTGACAGAACTGACTGATAGTTTTTCTGGAATCAGGTTTGTTCTCTTCCCTCCCCCAACCTGAACTCTTATTTTCATAAACACACCCATATACAGCCCGGGGACTCTTGATAAGAAAGAGCCTCCCATAGAGGCTGGGAAAAGGTCAGCAGAGGTGTGATGCTGATGTGGTTGAGATCCTGATCCCACACCATCTGTGCCAGGACTCAGTACGAGCTGCCGTGACATCAGAAGGCTTCCTTGGGGCCTGATACTTTCTTGTCCTCCTCCAGGAGGGACACATCTGGGGCTCCATGAGGAGGACAGCTTTCATCCTGGGCTCTGGCCTTCTCTTGCTGGTGGCCTTCTGGAACTCAGTTACCTGGTGAGTCTGCACCACCAGCTTTGATTCAGGACCTGGGGGCAAGTGTGCTGGTCTGGAGGCAGAGCATGAGGTAAGGAGCTGTCCACCCACCAGTCTGCGCCCAGAAACCTGAATGATTTTTCTTCCAAGGCATCTTCAGAGATTTTGGGGTGCTTCTGGCTACTTTTGGCAAGCCCAGTGGGAGAATCTGCTGTCTACATTCGAAGGGATGGAGTGGATGCTCTACTTTATAGGTGAGGTTCCCAGACTACTAGCATTTAGGGTTTGGGGACATGATTATAGGCTCTTTTTCTATTGTTTTCTTCTCTACTTTTGAGAATTCTCAGCTCCTCATCCCAAAGAATGAAGACTTCAAGCTTAAGACAGTGGTAATCCCAAAGAGTGCTAATCATAGGCAATCTGAAATGGATGCTTAAAGATGTCTAAGAAGAGAACTGGAGACTCCCCTCTCCCCAAAAATAGAAAAAGAAAAAAAGAAACAGCATGTGTGAAAATGAATGCATGTTTAGAGTCAGAATCCTGCTTCTGGATGCCAGGCCCACGAGCACAGAGAGCTGCTCTATCTCCTGTGAGACTGTGTCTTCATACCTGGTGTAATCTAGCTCTCTGGGCTTGACAGCAAGTGGTCACTTAATAAATATTTACTGATAGTGTGAATAACTCACAACAAGCCAAAGAAAATGTGGAAGAAAACAAGCATTTCAACACAGATATTTATAACAGCATTATCTACAGTTAGTGAACATCCTCAATCACGGGTTCATTATTAATGTTACTCTGTGCCAAATTTTTATGGAGGAAATAGAGATATTTAAGATGAAATATTTACCTCATTTAAAAAACTATGTCACAGGGGTACCTGGCTGGCTTAGTCGTTTAAGCGTCCAACTCTTGATTTTGGCTCAGGTCATGCTCTCAGGGTCCTGGGATGGAGCCCTGCTTTAGACTTGGGTGGCCAGTGGGGAGTCTGGTTGGGATTCTCTGCCTTTCCTCCCTGTGCTCCTCCCCCTGCCACGCCTCCTCCTCACCTTTCCCCAACCCATACGTGCACTCTCTCAAAATAAATAAATAAATCTTAAAAAAATAAAAATAAAAACTATGTCACAGTCTAGAAGGGGAGATTAAAAAAAAAATTGCCAGTGCCAGTTGTCACAAAGCAAAAGTACAAATAAAATGTTCCTGACAAATGTTTTCAGCTGGAAGAACTCTGAAAGCAGGCTAAACGTTAAATATGACAGGTTCAGTGCAAGCTGTCATTGAAATCATTGAAAAGAACAATGTAGATTGCTAACATATATGCGGGAAGTGGTGGGGAAACATTTGATATGTTTCTGTTACAATGATGGGAAAACGACTTTCCCCCAATGATAAGCAAATATGAAGAAGCAAAATATTTGCAATTTTAGATTTTATTTTTTTAAAGATTTTATTTATTTATTCATGAGAGACAGAGAGAGGGAGAGAGGCAGAGACACAGGGAGAGGGAGAAGCAGGCTCCCTGCAGGGAGCCCGACATGGGACTCCATCCTGGGACTCCAGGATCACGCCCTGGGCGGAAGGTGGCGCTAAACCGCTGAGCCACCCAGGGATCCCAATATTTGCAATTTTAAGTGTTACAGCGGGGGGGGGGGGGGGGGGGGGGGGGGGAGTTCCAGATCTTCTCTTGTTGGGGCTTTTTTCTGTATTCCTCAAGGAGCCTTTGGATCTACAAGTAGGCAGCCACCTTGGTGGATGGGCCACTAGGCAATCACCAACCTAACATTTTTATTTTTCCAAATAAGAAAGCGTGCAATTTCTGAGAATAAAAGTAAATGCATGTTCATTGTTAAAAAATAAAAATCAGACAATTCAAGTAAGCATAAAGAAAGTGAAAATTGGGTAACCCGGGTGGCTCAGTGGTTTAGCGCCACCTTCAGCCCAGGGTGTGATCCTGGAGACCTGGGATCGAGTCCCATATCGGGCTCCCTGCATGGGGTCTGCTTCTCCCTCTGCCTGTGTCTCTGCCTCTCTCTCTCTGTGTGTGTGTCTCTCATGAATAAACAGAATCTTAAAAAAAAAAAGTGAAAACCACCCACTCTCATATATCTAAGAAATAACCATAGTGAATATATTAGTATAAATCTCTTCTATATTGGATATACGGTTGAACTTCTAAGACACCAACTATTTTTTTTTTAACTATTCTTTTTTCATTGAACAGATTGTGGACATCTTTCCATTGTCAGTATAAACTATGTTAAGCTGCCCTGTCTAGTCCATTGAATAGAGATACTCTAATCTATTTACTCCATTTCCTATTAATGGACATTCAGGCTCCATCAGTGTTCTATTGTGATTTTTAAAAAATAGGTAATAAATGTATATGTGTATGGACATGTGTCCTTTTTCCTTTTTTTTTTTTTTTCCTAGCACCCTCTTTTTTTTTCCCTTGGATACTGCCAAATTGCTAAGATATGTGTTTGTCATATTTCCCCACAGTGCTGGCCAAGTATTTTTCAGGTCCCAATTGGCACAAGCTCTGGGGTTTCTGGTGGGACCCAGAAGGATACACAGAATTAGGTCAAATGCCTTTGCCCTTTGAGATATTTAGAAGGAGGAGGCAAAACATGGACAAAGTTAATAGTGCAAGTTAGGTAACATTGTATTATCATTTAAATAACTGCCAATCAGGGCGGACAAAGTGCTTGTTTGTCCACAGTCAGAGATCAGAGATACTTGGGAGGACTTTACAGGAAAGTGGGATGCGAGCAAAGAAAGCCTTATCTAAATTTTAAGTCTCAATCAGCATTTTCTAAAGTATCCTGCAGAACATCAGTGCTGTGGGATGTGAATGGGTGGGGTGACCATACAATTCATTATCCAAAGAGACTTTTGTGAGAGTAAATGAGCTGTTGTTAATAATTATGCCAGACTGCCTGATGTAAACTGAAACTGTCCGGGGCAAACAAGGATGGTGGCCATCAGATCGGTTTTCTGAGAAAACAGAGTTCCTGGGTTAAAAAAAAAAAAAAAAAAAAGACCAGGAAAGGCCATTTATCTTATTTTTTAAAGATTAAAAAAAAAAGATTTTATTTATTTATTCATGACAGACACACAGAGAGAGAAAAGCAGAGACACAGGGCAGAGGGAGAAGCAGGCTCAATGCAGGGAGCCCAAAAAGTGGGGCTCAATCCTGGGACTCCAGGACCACTCCCTGGGCTGAAGGCGGCGCTAAACCGCTGAGCCACCTGGGCTGCCCAAAGGGTGAATTTAACAAAGCTAAATAGGTTTCTCTGCTGCAGGAATTATTAGAGCTGTTAGCACACTAGTCTGGATCATGGCTCTCCAACAGAGCAGTATCTGAACATTGTTTAATCAAGAAGCGCCTTCAAAAAGGAGTTTTCCACTTTGGGAGCTGCTTACTAGATGCCCGAAGTCCCGCTGCTCAGTTAGTAGGGCCATAGGGATTAGGTTCCTGACTCCTAGTCCAGTGCTCATTGGGGACTGTATCCTACCAAGCACTTCCTCTGCTTGTCCCTTCCTTGGGAATTCATAAAATGTTTAATGGGCACAGACTCCCAGATATAAACCTAAATTTATTTGTAGTTTATTTATCCACTATTGTATTATGTAGATTATATATTTATTATAAATATAAATTTTATTTATGTTTAACTTTTTTTCTGGGGGGGGGGTCCTCAACCACCTAGAAGGTTGTGGCCTCCATTTTACAACTAAGAAAATAGAGGGGCACCTAGGTGGCTCAGTTGGTTAAGCATCTGCCTTCTGCTCAGGTCATGATCCTGGGGTCCTGAGATCCAGCCTAGGGATGGGCTCCCTGCTCAGTGGGGAGCCTGCTTCTCCCTCTCCCCGTTGCTCATGCTTTCTCTTTTGCTATCTCTTTCTCTCAGATAAATAAATACAATCTTTAAAAAAGAAAAGAAAAGAGACCCTCCTTAAGTGACCTGACCAAGTTCCCCCAGTTAGCTGGGTCACCCCAGGACAAAAGATAGGCCCTCTGGCCCACCAAGACTCCCTGGCAAGGGACTATCTACAATTCTATGTGACAGCCTTAGCAGCCTTAGTCACATTCAAGCTTGTGTTCAGTTAATACATGTGCTGCAAGAACCTAAAGTCCCCTGATTGTTTCCTTCTGCTTCCCCATCTTAGGTGCCATCCAAGTACCTGGTCTGCTCTTCTGGAGCTTCAATGGGCTTCTACTGGTGGTTGATACAACTGGAAAACCTAACTTCATCTCTCGCTACCGAATTCAGGTCGGCAAGAATGAACCAGTAAGTGTTGCTGTGGTTTCTCCTGGGCAAAGCCGAGAAAGCAGGAGCTGAAGCCACACTCAAAATGCTCACTGCAGGCCTAGGAGAAAGCATGGCCACTGTGAGCCAAGTTATTGTGTACAAGGCTCCCCCAACTGAGAAGATTAGAGAGAAGAAATAATCTGCCCCAGATCTCAGATGAATATTGCTGATTCCCCACCCTGGCTCTGTGCCTCCCTGCACCACCCCACAGCACTGCAGTCAGCATTTTGGGAACCAAGCTGATGGGCTCAGCCTGCTACTGGGCTGAGTTTGGAGATGTCAGGCAGCTCCCCACTCAGCCACTGGGGTAGGGATAGCAATGGCTGGATGCCAAAAGCGCGGATGACAGGGGTTGTGAGGTACATGGCTGCTGACATAATGGCTGGTCCACTTTAGATAAAGGGGGTCTGAATGTGTAGGCTGTGGCTGGTTTTTAAACAGGTCCTCCTTCCCAATCATTCAGTTCAACTGCTGGTGCATAGCTTATCCACAAGAAACAAGGCCTGGACTCTGCTTACAAGGAACTCCTGGCCCAGTAAGGGAGAGAAGGCCAGTACACACATCTTCAACTTAACACAGTGCTGGAAGTGAGCCCCACTGTGCCCTGAGCCCAGCCACCAGCTCAGTGCTCTGACAACCTCCAAGAGCCTTTCCTTACACAACAAGAAGTTCATTCTTAAACCCAGAATCTTTCCCCAGCTCCACCCAAACCACATCCTGGCTCCTTTCCCAGAGAAGACAATCATCTTTTAATTATCTACCAAGGTGCCTAGGTGGCTCATCTCAGCATTCAGAGCACTCTGCCCCAGCCCAGCCCTCCAGAAAGCAGAATGCCCTTGACTGAGGCTCTTGGAATAGCCTTCTTCTTCCTTCCTTCTTTCTTTCTTTCTTCTTCTACTTCTTCTTTTTTAAAGGTTTCATTCACACTCATTCATGACAGACACACAGAGAGGCAGACACATAGAGGGAAAAGCAGGCTCCCTATGGGGAGCCTGATGCAGGACTGGATCCCAGGACTCTGGGATCATGCCCCAAGCTGAGGGCAGACATTCAACCACTGAGCCACCCAGGCATGCCAGGATATCCTCTTCTTCAACCAGAGCTGCCAGCCAGGCTCACGGCCCCGCACACTTGAGAGATTAACTGCCAGCCAGCTGGGGGGCTTCCTCCAGGTCCAGCTTGGCAGGCATGGACTGGAGCCTAAGTGTCTAAGCCAGGCCTTGGTTGTTAAGAGCCCTTTATCTGTCAGACCACGGCATTCTCCTTACCAGGCTCTAATGCCTTGGTCTTCAAGGACAAGTACTGTAATAACCCTCATGGTTCAGGTGAGGAATCGGGCTCAGGTGTGACATGGGTAGATGATTCACACTCAAGCTCTTTGACCCCAGGGCTCATCCTCTCAACCACCATCCTGGTGGTTGAGACATCAGCTCTCAAGAGTATCACCTACCATGACAACACTCCTTGTCATGGTCTACAGTGGTTGGAGAGCCACACAGGGAAGGTCTGGTTGCATTTTGCAGAAGCTGAGCTCAGAAAGGCACAATGACTAGACTAGCTCAAGGTCAGAGTGTTGCTGGGAAGCAGAGCCAGGGCCCCATCCTCCGAATTCTGTCCTCTGAATTCTAGGTCCGGTGCCTGCTCTGTTTGCTGTCACACTCTCCTGGTTAGCAGGTCTGTACCCTCTCCTCCCTTCTCACACCCCCCACAGGGGGAGGCAGGAGAGAAATCCCAGACTTCCTCCACATCAGCCTACCAGCAGTACCTGCGACCAGGCTCTTTGAGAAAGTTGTCTGTAGTTTCCAGTTCCTCTCTGTCCACTCTGTTCTCTCAACATTTTGTAATTATGAAAAATTTTGTAAGCATAGATACAGAAGTTGAGAAACGTAGTATAGTGATCGCTCACACACCACCTAGATTCACCGGTTTTATTTATTTATTTTTTTTTAATTTATTTATGATAGGCACACAGTGAGAGAGAGAGAGAGGCAGAGACACAGGCAGAGGGAGAAGCAGGCTCCATGCACCGGGAGCCCGACATGGGATTCGATCCCGGGTCTCCAGGATCGCGCCCTGGGCCAAAGGCAGGCGCCAAACCGCTGCGCCACCCAGGGATCCCGATTCACCGGTTTTAAACATTTTACAGGATTTGCATTATCTATATGTAAAAATAGAAATATGTATGCATCTCTCATTTTTAGCTTAACCATTTGAAAGTAAGTTCCAGACATTACAAACCTCACCCTAAGTCTCTCAGCCAATAGCTCCTAAATAACCACAAAGCCATCATCTCACCTCTCCTGTGCGCCTCCTCTGGCCAGGCCTTCACCCCCACTGCTCCTCCTCTGCTGCCCTGGGCAAGGGTCCCGGGATGTGGCCTCAGGTTCATCTCCCTTACTCCTGGCCTGTGTGCCTCCACAGCTGCTTGTTTACGCACTCTTGCTACCTGTTCTACCTGGCCTCTCTGCTTTTCCTCTCATCTCAGTGGCCACTCTTTCATGGTCTTCCTTCTGGTCTCTCCTCCTCTCCCCTGCCTCTTCATCCTAAGTGTCCCAGGGTTCAGGCCTTGCTCCTCAGTTCTGTCTTCACTCCCTCACTTATCTCCTCAAGGGTCATAACGTTAAATACAATCCATGACGTTAAATACAATATGCCCACAGCTCACAAATTTCTGTCTCTAGCCCAGCACTCTCTTCTGAATTCCAGGCTCAGATTGCCAGGTGCCTCTTTGACATCTCCAATCCAACATGTCCCCAAGAGAATTTCTGATCATCCCCTCAAAGACTGCCACCCACAACCTCCCCAGTCTGAGTTCACGGCAGGGCCACTCTTCTAGATGACCAGCCCTTGGGCTGAAGACTCTCTGCCCAGGAATCTTTGCCCTCACCTTCCTCATCTCTTTGTTCAAATCTCACCATCTCCACAAAGCTTACCCTGATTATCGTATTTAAAATTATTGGTGTCAGGAACATAAACTCAGTGAGGGAAAGAATCTTTCTTTGGCTCATTGCTCGATTCCCAGCACATACGACACCACCTGCAACGTAGAGGGTGCTCAAAATATCAGGTGAGTAGGGCAGCCCTGGTGACCTAGCGGTTTAGTGCCACCTTCAGCCTGGGATGTGATCCTGGAGACCCGGGATCGAGTCCCGCGTCGGGCTCCCTGCACAGAGCCTGCTTCTCCCTCTGTCTCTCTCTCTCTCTCTCTGTCTGCCATGAATAAAAAAAAAAAATCAGGTGAGTAAATGTAAACGTAAACATATGTGACACCCTCCCCTTGGTCAGGGTTTCTAGAAGAGTGGTATGGTTTCATCTACAGGTGCTCTCAAATCAGGCTGGCCAGACCTGGCTTCACCATGGGGCTGGAACTGAAAGCTTGGAGATTGGATTCAAGTCCGTTAGTTCATGCAGCACCTGCAAAAGCTGAAGGAAGAGTAAGGCCTGGAGTCTGAGGACCACTCTGAACTCAGCCTTACCTTGCAGCTAGAACCCCTCCAGTTCCTGGAGGCAACTCAGGGAGAAATCATTTCTGACCAATCCCAAACCAGTTCATCAGGGCCCAGGAAGTGACCCATGGTCAAGGGGCTATCCTGGGGAGCCCCAGTGCTCTGAGGGAGGGGTCAGATATTAATTCTTGGAAAAATGCTGGCTATAATATTGAGGCTCAGTGGGGTATGCGATTTGGGGCCAGCTATCCAAAGAAAACCTGGAGAGAATGCTCGGGCAGGTCCCCATCCTGACAGCCCCACCATGAGAACTAGGAAGACCAGGTCACAGGAAGTTTAGTCAAGAGGCTGCACAGGAAGCTCTCTGGCTCACCTCTCTTCACTCGGCCTAGTCCAGTGAGGCTGGGCCACATGAGGAGGCAGACCTTGATCTCTGCACCTGATCATGGGCAAGCCTCTGCGGATGAGAAGGGGCTCAAAGACTGAAAAAAGGGTATCAACCTGAGAGTTGACAGCCTTCTCTAAGCACCCTGGAGGCACCCTGAGATACCTGTCAGGAATACGTCTGGGCCTGGCCAGAGACACGGAGACAACAGTGGTAACAGCTGCAGGAAGGAGAAGGCAGGCTCAGGCTGGTGGAACGCTGCTGAGAAGGGAGTTTCCAAAAGCAGTACTGCCACATGGTCACACCTCAGGGCTTGGGCAGTAGTCAGGGGCTGCTGGGTATGGCCAAACGTCAGACCTAGCATCCACTCCAGACTGAGGGCCTCCTGTGAGTGGGTCACAGTGAAGCCATGTCTAGAAGGGAAAGACCTTCTCACCCTCTTGTTCATCTCCCTCCTTTCTTGCCTTGGCAGGTGGACGCTGAGAAACTACGCCGGTCTATCCGCACAGTTCTCTTCAACCAGTACATGATCTCTCTGCCCATGGTGGTTCTCCTCTATCCCATCCTCAAGCTGTGGGGAGACCCCTGCCGCCGAGAGCTACCCACCTTCCACTGGTTCCTCCTGGAGCTGACCGTCTTCACTCTGATCGAGGAAGTCCTGTTCTACTACTCACACCGGTGAGTGGGTCCCTGCCCAAGCATAGCTGGCTCCTTGCTCTCCTAGGGCTCACTTTTAAGGGAGGAAACTGAGACCTCAGACTTGTAGGTGTAAGACCAACATCATCTGGCCTCAAAAGCATCCTCTTAGTTAACATTGACACAACTATTTGTTCCACAACCAACAACTTGAAGCAACTGAAAAATTTCCAGAGCCTTCTGCATTCCTGTGTGCAGAGGGGCAGTTTCCCATTGGTTTCCTTATTGAATCCTTTGTGGACACCATCCCCACAGCTAGTACAACTGAGGTAGAGAGAAGCAAAGTAACCCACCCCCAATTTGTGCAGCATAAGAGGTGGGGTTAGAACTCGAAGGCAGGTCTGATCTCCAGTTGAGTGTGTTTGCAACTTTGCTCCATGGGTGGAACTCATAGCTCCTACTTTGGGTTTCTCATGGCCTGGTGGGAAAGGGAAAAGGGAGATTGGTAGATTATCACCTATTAACTATTTCCCCAGGCTCCTTCACCACCCAACATTCTACAAGAAAATCCACAAGAAACACCACGAGTGGACAGCTCCCATTGGCGTGATCTCTTTCTACGCCCACCCTATCGAGCATGTGGTCAGTAGAGCTCTGCTTTCTCCAGAGCCAATGGGCAAAGGGCCCCAACCACCTTCCCTAAGGCCTCCCACAGAGAAGTAGCCGACAGTGGCCCCTTCTCTCTTCTTACCACTCAGCAACTACCATTTATTGTTGACCTAGTCTGTGCAAGATGCCCAATATAAGTTGTTGCAAACAGTAACTTGTCCCAAAGTTATAAAGCTGAATGCCTCCAGCAAATCAAGGGTCTGCAGCTCTTTCAGCTTCTCCAGAGCTGAGTCAAGGAAGTCTTCCCGATACTACCCTGGGGTAAAGTGGACACCCAGCCGATCTCTTGGGGCCCACCTTCAAACAGCCCTCCTTTTGCAGGTCTCCAACACGCTGCCAGTAATGGTGGGTCCCCTAGTAATGGGCTCCCACTTGTCCTCTATCACCATGTGGTTCTCCTTGGCCCTCATCATCACCACCATTTCCCACTGTGGCTACCACCTACCTTTCCTGCCTTCACCTGAATTCCATGACTACCACCATCTCAAGTAAGGCCTCCTTCCCCACTGTGAGTCCTGGGGCAGTAGCCTTCACCTTCACTCCTGGAGCTTCCAAGAGCAGACATGACCCTGGGGGTCTCAGTTTCAATGTGCTGGTGCTAGTGGAGGGAGAGGCCTGGAGGTTGGGAAAATGATGTTAGACCCAGATCACCTTGCTCTTTTCTTTCTTTTTCTTTTTCCTTGCTCTTTAACACTAGGTCTTCCTCCAGCTGTGGGTTTTTAACCTTTACTTAGGTCATGGGCCCTCTAAGTGTCAAATGTAAGCTGTGGACACTGTCAGAACAATGCATATCCACATAAAAATACCGCATGCAATTCAAGGGGAGTTGTGCATTCTCTGAAAACCTCCAGGCTTTTCTAAGTGTGGTCTAAGAACCTCCAGCACCATAAGCACCTGAGATAAAATGCAGGTTCTTGGGTCCCACTCCACATATGCTGAATCAAAGTATGGGGGGCAGCAGGACTTGAAAATCTGCATTTTAATACGTGTTCTGGGGGATTCTGATGGAAGTAATCCCTAAACCTACCTGAGAAAGCCAAGCTCTGCCACAGGTTGACTTGTGTGCATAAGATTCATATAGCTTTCCAAAGGAAGGCCCTAGGTTTTCAGTACGGAGTGCCCCTAGGAGTTGTGTACAACTCCCTGGGACCTTCTGGTGTAGGTAGTCAGCATGGTTGGGGATGGGTCTGGGGTAGGAGGGCTTAGAAATGAGGCTGGCACAAATGAAAAGGAGATCAGCACACCAACCTCCCGTACTTTTCTCTCTCCTCTAGGTTCAACCAGTGCTATGGGGTGCTGGGGGTGCTAGACCACCTCCATGGGACTGACACATTGTTTAAGCAGACTAAGGCCTACGAGAGACACATCCTCCTGCTGGGCCTCACCCCACTGTCTGAGAGCATCCCGGATCCCCCAAAGAAAATGGAGTGAGAGAAGGCCCAATGGCCACCCTGGCTGTCCCCCTCAGTGGACTAAGGTGGCCCAAGATATCCTTAATGCCCCGAATTTGCTCTTTAGCCATGTACTTTCTAATGACAGCATCACTGAGGCAGGGGGTTAGCTCAGCTTCCTAGAAAAGCAGGGCCAGGGATCCCTGGGTGGCGCAGCGGTTTGGCGCCTGCCTTTGGCCCAGGGCGCGATCCTGGAGACCCGGGATCGAATCCCACGTCAGGCTCCCGGTGCATGGAGCCTGCTTCTCCCTCTGCCTGTGTCTCTGCCTCTCTCTCTCTGTGTGACTATCATAAATAAATAAAAATTAAAAAAAAAAAAAAGAAAAGCAGGGCCAAGGATGGGGCCAGGGCTCCCCTGCGGTTCCACAGAAGGACCAGGGGTGGGCTTAAAGAAAGGGAAAAAGCAGCTCCCCAGATGGAAGCTAGTGAGAAGGAAGAAACCACCTTTAAAAGCGCTCCTGGAGAGTCCCCCTGGTCCTTTGCTGTGGAAGGGGAGAGAGGACTCCAGATGAACTTTTTATGGCCTAGCAAGACACAGAGAATGTGAAGGTGGCAGTGAGACTGGAAGCTACTGCCAACTCCAGGGAGAGCTCTTCCTGGTGCTAAGGGGTGAGGGAGCCAGAAGGTATTGCTTTGCCCCTTCCTGTCCCACAAAACTTTTCTCATACCCTACTCTGGCCAGAGCCAAGACATTCTCTTTGCCAACACACACACACAAACACACACACCACACACACACACACACTTGCAAGTCAGCTAACAAAGACCTCATTTCAACTCTGCCCCACTGCAAACCCCATCCCTCTATGAAAAGAAAAATGCCAATCGCAGGGAGTTCCTCTGTGGATTAAAACTGAGATATCAAAGAGGTGCAGACCAAACCCCAACACCTACCTTCAGCCACACATGGAAACCCAGAAACCACAGGTCAAGCCCTGTTGACCTGCTAAGCTGGAGGCCCTTTTATCCAGAGGGAAGGTTCCGATTTCCTGACCTTTGGGGACACCCAACTGAGGAGGCTAGAACCTTCTTCCTCCAATGAGAAGGCAAGAAAAACATGGCTGACCAAAAGGCAAAACCCTCACTTTTTCCCAAATGATTAGCCAGTTGTCTCAACACCATTTATTTCAAATGAAACTTTGTCAGGAACCTTATTCTCTAAAAACCAAAAGAGCTGCTCGGGTTGCAGCAGTTCCCAGCCTGGCCTTCCCTCAGCAGCTTAGACATTGTCAGGAACCCTGCAGCTCCTGGGAAAAATTTGAGGACCACTCTTTGGTTTGAAAGGCCACCAAATACCAGCTACTTTCACTTACATCAAGAAAACCATCCAGTTTTATAAAATACCTTAACATTGGATAGGGCCAAGTCTCCAAGCAGATCTAAGACTCCTTCCTTCCTATTGGCCCTTCGACCCCAGACCTACTGATAGACCAGCTGGGTACTTACCAGTGTCCTCCTTGGCTTTCCAAACCCTACCTACCATCCTCTGGCCTTCATGGACCTACCTGGCCCTATCCCCAGGACACCCATGCCATGAGCTTTAAGTACAGCTTCTGGTGCACCAACGCTTTAGGTTTTCACAGCTGCTGGCCCGTACTCACAACCTGCTCTTAGGAATAAACACTTGGAAAACAGCCCATCTTCAGTTTACTTGTAAGGGTAGGGAATGAGTAGTGTGCACAAAGAGGAAAAGCAGATGCCTTCCTTCCCCTGTGAGGTCTTTAGACTTGGAAGTACTGTAGAGGACCAAGAGGCTGTCAGTCTCTCATCCCTTTTGGCAGCCACGTGGTTGGGCTCTGGCAGGGGGTCTCAGCCCTAATCTCTTCATCAAACAAGAGTGGCCCTGAGGTGGGTGAACAAGTGAGGCTTAAGAAAAGGCTGAGGTCTCCAAATTCCCAAAGACCAAGGGATAGGAAATATTGCAAATAAACGGATCTCTTTAATTCCAGTAGGTTCTTCCGTGTTTTCTCTCCACGACGTGACCAGTTCCAATGTTCCTGATCATGTGGCATCTGGGAGTCACAGTAGTGCAATTAAGCCATCAGTGGCCTCTCTCACGAGCATTCCTACCACGTTGCAGAGGTGGGGGTCTGTCTTCCCGGCCCCAAATCTTTCAGCACAAGCCCTGGCTACAACCTCCTAAACTCTTTCAGCCTAGAGACTATTGGTGGTCCTGTCAATAGTCCTGCCCACCTGAAGTATGGTGGGATTCTCTTGGAAAAACATTTCTGATGGGATGCTCAAGTGCCAGGCATGAGAGACAGTGGTCAGATTAATGAGCAAGCAAGTCATGCCTCACTTCTAGTTTTCTAATTCTACATCCAGGCCAGACTGACATTCAGAATGTTACTACTGCCAGCACCTGGCCTCACTCGGGTCAGGGAAAGCCACCAACAGCCCATGGGCGGGCCAGTCATGGGTGGGGTGGGGTGGGGTGTATTCATCTTTCTATCCTTTCCTAGCTTCAATCTTCAGGGCTTGCTAGCTGACCTGGATTCCTCTAAGGCCACAGAGTGGTGAACCGTTACTCCTTTATACCCTAGCAGCAAGAAATCTGTCTGCTGAGAGGCTGTGCTGGCCTTCCTGTTGGAATCAGAGCAACCTTCCTGGCTAACTCCTTACAAGATGCCAGGTCACAGCCAGAGGATAGAAATCCTGGGAGCTGGGCAAGTAGGCAAAAACCCTGGAATTGTTGGACCAGCAGCTCTCCATTCTGTAGCACTGACTAGAGCTGCCATGTCTCATTTAAGACACAAAGTGGATGTGAATTCAAGCCTGGAAGAAACTCTTAAAACCAGAGTTCACCTGGATGCATTCATTAGTAGCCTTGAGTCCATTCCCTAGGCAGATTCCTCAAAAGCCCAACGGCAGAGCCCTCCAAAGCTTCCATGTACATATTTTAAGTGCAGGGTTCCCCTGAATCTGAGGGAACCCTAACCAGGCTCCATCCCTCAAGAGCTGTACCCCAGATGGGAGACCAGCCAGTATTTTGCCTTTTCAAGTTTTTATTTTTATACATTTTTTTGTATTAAAAAGAAAAGCATAATTACCACAAATTACAAAGGACTAAAGCAGGACTAGAATAATGAATGAATCACTTCAGCCTGGAAAGCAGATACTCTCAATAATATTAATGTTATAATACAAGCTCATTCAAGTATTTTACATTTTTTTTGTCCTTTTAAATGTGATATCCTAGCACATGGTAAAGATAATGTACTATGAGCATAAGGTGGAACCTTCTCCGCAAAGCCAGATGACAAGTTTTCCTCTCCAGTGAGAAATGGGCTATAAGTTCTGATCTTCTCTGCCTCTGCCATCAACATGGCTGAAGGAGAGGGTGGGGGCTGGGGCAAATCCAGGGACCCTTCCACACAGGACATACTTCAGGGTCCCACTCAGGAGGGGACCAGATGATCCAGACCACTGTACCCAGGCTTTTTTGGCAAAACAAAAACAAACAAACAAAAAAAAAACCCAAGACCGAACCCACCCCCACCTGCCCCAGCTAGTCATCTTCCTTGCTCCTCCTCCCCACTTCCTGGGCCATCTGAGCAGCTTACTTTTGTAAAATCAATCATCAGGGAAGGGGGGAGGGGGGTAAAAGAGCTACAGTGAAACAAAAACAAAAATGTAACAACTTTGACATGAGGGCTCCGCACCTGGATCTGAGCCCTGGGGGGTCCAGGCTGGGGCAGGGCCAGGCAGCCACTCTCTACTGGTGGTGCATTTGCTCCCAGGTTCAGAAGAGGGCAAAAGAAACCTGCCCCTTGGCAGGGCCGAGGTACACAGACCTTGTGATGTTCGATGCCCAAAGGTCGTACTGGCATGGACCAATCTGGAAGGGTACAGGATGAGCAGAAGGGTTTGGGCAGGCTGCTGCTTTGTGTCTCAGATCTTGGACCCCCACAGGAGGGTGGGGGGTAGGAAGCGGCAAGCCTTGATGGCTCTGGCCGCTCCTGGCATGCCTGTCACAGATAAGTCGGTCCTAAATTCAAGTGTCTTCAGAAAGTGAAGATGTAAACTACTCTTTGCAACATTAACTCCTAACATGTTACAAAAAAAAAAAAAAAAAAAGAAAGAAAGAAAGAAAAAAAAAAAGCCCCCTCCCCTCATCCTCAGCCTGTGTTGAGATGAAATCCTCACCTCCCCACCCCAAAGGGGCTTCCTCTCTCTGGGGTGTCTGTGGGAGGATCAGGGAGGGGATGGCAGCCCCCTGGCCTGGGAGTAAACTCTAGGTAAGAAAAGTCTTTCTGCACACTCCCAAGGCTTCCTTGTGCCCCCAAACCCAGCAGAGGACAAACACTGAGGTTCTATGGTGCTGGATACAGTACAGGGCTAAGCGACCCAAAGGATAGAAAGGGGGTAAAGGGAAGGAAGAGGGGGTGCAGGAGTCCAGCATCTGGTACAACGTGGGCAGGCACCAGACAGCAGGGAAAGGCCTTAGATCCCATTTTAGAGCACAGACCAGACACTCATCCTTGGCTTTTGGGACAACCAGGTAACAGGAACTGAGGTGGGCTTCCCATGTACTAACCACAGGGAGGGCAGAGGTGGGGAAGGGCAGAGGCCAAAAGCAATGAGGTGCCCATGACAGAAGGCAAGCCCTTGCCAGCCTGGGATACCATCTCCTACTCCCAATCCTTGGGCCCAACAGAGAGGGCCAGGGGAGTGTCGGCAATGGAGCAACACTACTATCAACTTCTGTGTGCTGTCCCGGTCCCCACTGGGGGTGAACATGTCCCCACGCCCATACCCACCACACAGCTCAATCTGTGGGGGTCAGTCCTTTGTCACCCCTTCCTAGCTCCGGATGCCAGGAGACTCCAGCCATTCCATTATCATTCAGAGCCCAACCCAAGCAGTCAGTTGCTGGAGAAGAGAAGACAGGTATACTCTATGTCCACATATACCTTTCTGCCTCAGGGCTTCTCCAACTGGCAGGATTCCCCCCAGCCCCCAAATCCTCCTCATCCCTTGTTCCCAGGCAGGGTCAATTGGAGGGCAGGCAGAGATGGCTTGCAGAGGGGGGAATGCAAGATGGGGAGACCCCACCAGACCCAAGGGAGGAGAATGGCATCCTTCTCCACCTTTTATGTGACAAAGCCTCCTTGAGGTCTCAGATCTCTCAGGGCAACACATTTCCAAGCCTCAGCTGCCAGGTGTTCACCTTTCCCCTTTGAGGTGGGGGAGACGGTCAGGCTGAGGCCAAGTGTGTCCCAGATCCAGGCCAATGCTCTTCTTCAACAGTTTGAAGCAAACTTGGCCTTGGGGTTCCAAGGGTAGGATGAAGGGTGGCATGGCAGGACAGGGCCTGTCATGAAGCAACAGCAAGCAGAGCGAGGACACGACAGTGGCAGCAGTGTACAGACACAGGACGTCAGCTTCAAACGATGCAACAGCAGGGATATTTCGGGCACGGCTCTGACCGGAGCCGCCCTCAACTCTCTTGCCTACAGGCAGGAGGCACTGTACATGCAACTCAGTCCAGAGAAAGATTCTAGCCAATCCAGCCCAGGCACATCCAGAGAAGGTGTGAGCTCTTCGAGTTGACTCCACCGAGGAAAACAGGCATTTGGGTATTTCAGATTCCCGCTCCACAATAAGGCAACTTTTAAAAAAATATTATTTCCAAGAACAAAACAAAACAAAAAAACGAAATCCAAGGATAGGGGAAAGACCTCACTTTCTATGGATTAGGTGGGGGTTTTCTGATTTTTTTTTTTTTGGTCTTTTATGGTCGATTTTGTTTTTTTTTTTTTTTTTTTTTTTGTTTTTTTTTTTGTTTTCCATTTTTCCAAGGATGGAAAGGTCAGAGAAAAATAAAATAAATCATCTTTCAATAGTCTTTTCTGGTATGAGCAGCGTCTCTCTGGGCTGGGGAATAAGGGGCATGGGGAGAGGGGGGTGGGAAGAGGATGAAACCTTCCCCCACCCCCACTTCTAGATCCTTTGGTTTCCTTCTCCCAGAAGATGGCAGAAGGGCATGGTGGGGACAGCAGGGGGAGAACATGGTGATGGCAAGCCCCAGATGATCAAAGGGCTGGTGCTCGTGGGGCCAAGGGACGCTGCCAGAGCCTTCCATGGGACAGTGCTGGGCAATGGGGCCCACAGGGCCTTCTTGTGGGCTGCATAGTTGGCTTGAGGGAGAGCAGGAGGCGGCTGTGGGTGGGAACCAGGGTTGCGGCCTACCAGCCGCGGGCAGGGCTGCAGAGTGATTTTGGTAATCCAGACGAACTATCAATAATTTAAAACTTGATATATATATATATATATATATATAAAAAAAAATCTCCCCCCTTCCCCCCCCCTTAGAAGAAGCTAGGATGTGAAGAAGAGTCATGGAGAGAGGAGGGGGAAGGAGGTGTGTGGAGGCTCCTGCCCAGGAGTACCTCTGATAGCCCAAATGGTGTACACATTGCTACTCAGCACAAAGGCCCATCTTAATGACTCCAGGCCTATCCCTTCTCTGTCCCCTCTCCTGGGACTGGGCACCCCTATGTACTCTCGCCCACCCCCCAACCCCCCCTCCAAAACCCCAGGGCTAAGGGGCTTTTCACTTTCCCAAAGTCTGTGTGTCCGAGTGCTGGCTTGTCCATTTGGCATCTTCCCGGACGGGCTGGCCAGTGGGTGGTGTGGGGGGTTGGCTGATCATGGTGGTGGGTCTGCTGGAAGACTGAGAGGGGCACCGCTTCCTGCCCTCACCGCCGCCACCTCCTGCCGCCACTGGGTGTCGCTTGTGGTTGCCCTCCTCACCCATGGGGGGCTGTAACAGAGGAGGGAGTCACAGGTGATAAGGGGCCTCTAACCAAATCCCCTCCCTTGCCAGGGCTCTCTAGAGACTTAGCTTCTTACTGCCAAATGTAGATAATAGGTATAACCTTAAAAACTAATTACCAGTTTTATGAAGCACATCCCCATGCCAACGTGCCAAACCCCATGCTGTTT